GTGCAGAAGTACATCAAGGAGAAGTTCGAATGCGAGGCATGTAAGTCCCGACCTCTACCTAAGCCAAGTCGTCCTGCCACCGTTGTTCGAGGCTATCGTCCAGGAGTCATTGTCGGTGTCGACGTTCTGTTCCTTCCCGATGTTGACCCTAGGCAGCTGAAGCCCGTTCTCAACATAGTCGACTGGGGCTCGGGATATCAGGCGCTGGAACCCATGCGGGAGAAGACGGCCAACGAGGCCTTCCGGAAGTTCTGGAAAGCATGGGGCCGTCACTTTGGGTCGCCCGAGGTGATGGTGACCGATGCCGGCACCGAGTTCGGCAAGGAGTTCTGCGAGATGGCGGCGGGACGAGGCATCGTTACCAGACAGATAGGCAGCAGGGCACCGTGGCAGCAGGGCATCACTGAAAGACAAGGGGGTTTGGCGAAGTTGCTGTTTGAGCGGGTTCGAGACGAGGTGTGTCCCACCAACAAAGAGGAGTGGGCCACAGCGCTCAGGGAGACGGAAGCAGCAAAGAACAGGCTGTATCACCGGAGCGGGTTCACTCCGGCTCAACGACACTTAGGTCAAAACCCCCGCCTTCCAGGTTGCCTGATGAGTGACGACTTTCTCGATGCCGAGCTCGTCGAGGAAGGTGCCCAGGGAGAGATGAGGCGCGTGCTAGAGATGAGACGGGTGGCGGCCGAAGCCTTCATCAAGATCAAATCTCAGGAGGCATGCGCCCGAGCTTCAAGAGCAAGGACGAGAACTTCCGAGGACTTCAAGGCGGGTGACCTCGTGTACGTGTTTCGTACCGGGAGAGAAAGCTGAAGGCAGCGGCCCAGAGGGAGATGGCCGAAGGAAAGCAAAGTGGGAAGCCCCAATGGGTAGGCCCAGGACAGGTGCTTGCCGAAGAAGGACCGAATCTCTGGGTTTCTATGAGAGGGGAACTTTGGAAAGCGGCCAAAGAGCAGGTTCGGAAAGCCACTTCACTTGAACATGAGGCTCAAGATCTTCTACAAGGGGAGCTATCAGAGCTAAAGGAGGAGCTTGCTAGGAACGAGGCCCGCAACTCATTCAAGGACATTACCAGTGAGCCATTTCCCGAAGGAGAAGCAGAACCAGAGCAAGCACAGCCTAGGGGACAGAAGCGTAGAGTTACCTTTGAAGACGAGGAGCCTAGGCCTAGCGCACCGGGGGACCGTGCTGAACCAAGACGTGAAGCTGGAGAGCCGGAGACGGAAGCCGCAGCACCGGACACCTCCGGAACGAGTTCTTCCGGATCGTCTTCTACGAGCAGTTCTTCCTCGAGTTCGTCGACGAGCGGGCCACCAAGTGCCACGGCTACCCCGAGGGCGGCCACTGGAGAGCGCCGAGATTCTCGGCAAAGTGGCAACACCGAGCCGGAGCAGGAGGCCAGCGCGGACACCGAGCGGGAGGCAGGCGAGGGCTCCACTGAGTACAGGCCAGTCACAGCCGAAACCCGAGCAACGCGCCCGAGTCCGTACGACCCTAGGTCGAGAGAAGCTGGCTTCGTGGTTGTCACCGAGGAGGAGGACTTCAACGACGCAAGGTCCCAGGACTACTGGGAGTGGGACCCCGACACACGGGTCCTGATCCGCTGGCACCAGTTCTCGAGGTGCGGGACGTTTAAGCCAAGCTCTGGGAAAGGGTGCCCGGTGCCGACCTCCTTGCTGGGCGAGGCGAGCACTTCGTTCGTGGAGTTTGAAGACGGCACCCAGACCGTGGAGAACAGCAGGTGGCGTTCGCGCACAGCCCGGGCAAAGCCGCTAAGGTCCTGGCGGGGAAGAACCGAGTTCCGCGTCAACTCCTTGGCGAACCCGGAGGTGCTCCAGGCCTTCATCGCGAAGAAGCGTGGCAGCGACGAGGTGAAGACGATTCCGCCCGAGGACGCAGAGCGATGGCGCGATGCTGATGCCGCTGAGTGGGAGAAGGTAAGAGCTACCGGCGCCATCCGGGAGCTGTCGCTCGAGGAGTCTGCGAAGGTTCTCCAGGAGCTCAAGGCGGCAGGCAAGCTGAACCGAGTGCTTCCCACCCGGATGGTTCGAAGAAACAAGCCGGGCGAATTGCCCGGGGAGCCCAGTACTCTGAAGTCTAGGCTCTGTATCCGGGGAGACTGCGACCCGGATGTCTTCAGCCTAGAACGGCATGCTCCAACGGCAAGCTCGCTCACACTGGCCATCGCCATGCAGGTTTGTGCTAACCGAAAATGGCGAGCTTCGGTCGGTGACCTACGAAATGCCTTCTGTCAGTCAGAGGCGTTACACCGCAGAGAAGGGCGGCTGTATGCCAAGCAGCCCGAGGGCGGACTTCGTGGTCTGGGGGAAGGGCAGCTGCTGGAAATAGTGGCGGGAGCCTATGGGCTCAACGATGCCCCGGCCCATTGGAGGAGGAGCCTAAAGAAAGCCCTGCAGCAGCTGAACTACGAGCAGTCGGTCATGGACCCGACGCTGTTCGTGCTAAGGAAGCTTCGGCGGGTCGTCGGCATGGTCATCGTAGAGGTCGACGACTTGTGGACGGCCGGGAACGAGGAGCACTACCGGCAGATCGACGCCCTGCGGCAGAGGTTCACCTTTGGAAAGTTTAAGTACCTGCAGGACGAGCCGGAGGGCGTGGGATTCAACGGGCGTCGCATGAGACAAGATTCCTCATACAACTTTTCCTACGACCTTCAGAAATTCATCAATGAACGGCTGGAGCCCATCGACATCGAAGGGCAACTGGCGGAGACGCCTGCTACTCCGGGCGAAGTGTCTCAAGCCAGGGCGGTGCTCGGTTCGTTGAACTGGCTGGGTCGCGAAGGAAGACCGGACCTAGCCGGCGAGGTGAGCATCCTCTCCAGCAGGATCCCAGAGCTCCAAATCAAGGATTTGAGGGAGATCAATCGGACGGTCGCGAAGGCGAAGTCGACGGCGGACCTGTCGGTGAAGATCGCCGGCATTGACGAGGGTCGCCTTGGCTTTGGAGTAGTGAGTGACGCTAGCTACGCTAATGTCCGAGGCGGCGGCTCCCAGGGAGGCCACTGCGTGATTGCCTTTGATATTGGGATTCATAAGGGTGAGACGGTTCCTTGTAACATCTTGTATTGGAAGTCAGGCCGCATTCACAGAGTGGTTAACTCCACCCTTGCCGCTGAGAGCATGAGCCTCTCTCGAGCGCTAGGAGACCTGATGTGGTGCGTTACACTCTTTAATGAGTTGACGCACGAAGGCTTCGACCTCAGAGAGTGGGAGACTGCTTTGAAGCATCGTCGGCTGTGTGTGATTCCTGGGAAGCAGGGAGATGCTCAGAACCTGGCGGTTGTTGACGCCAAATCCCTGTATGATCATTTGTCTAAGGAGACTTGTGGACACACTGCCGACCGCCGAACGGCGATCGAGATGCAGATTATTAGGCAGACTTTGAGTGAGCTCGGTACCTCCATCAGATGGATCGATCATAACCGTATGTTGGTGGATGTTCTTACCAAGATAGGCGGAAACGCAGAGCCACTCCACCGAGTTTTGAACACTGGACAGTGGAGCATTGTGGCGGAGGCCCAAGAGATCGAGCTTCGAAAGAAGCAGCGTACAGAGGGCATAGCTATCCGTCGCAACAAGTCTAGGACCAAAGAAAACTTTGGGAGCTGTGAACATGTTCATGTTAGTGCTTAGCAGTTGGTCCCAGACTTGCGCTCCGCCTTTCCTTGACCAGACGGCCCAAGACCAGGAGGCCCCAAGCACGTAGCAGAGGCTACCGAGAAAAGCCCAGAGAGACCGTTAGGTGCCATAGCAGCTGCGAGTTGTGCCGAGATCTCCCGAGAGCTGCCACTGTCAGTCGACAAAGAGGAGGGGCAGAACAACCCGTCTAAACACTTGTATTCCGCAGAGAAACTATTCTGTGCCGGGTTCGCCATCCTCAGTGTCCCGAGGGAGCTACAAATAACGCACAAGCAACCTGAACGATGTGATGCAATAAGCGGCTGCCTCTCAGGTGAGGTCCCATAGCTCGCCATGCATCTCGACCTGTGAGGTGAACTCTATGGAAGGGCCCCTCTTCGATGCCTTCCTCATGGCGCTGCTGAGGGACTTTCACTTGAACAAAGACCAGGCAAGCCTGGAAAAATCATGCGAGAGGGTGGGCATTTGCACACCCACTCCACCGCCAATGTCAGGTGATGGCCATCTACATGAACCAAGGCCTACTGCCGAGTCTAGGAGTCTAGGACTCTAGGTTCCTGTATCGCTTCGAATTCGCACAGGTGACAAGGCCAAAGAGACGCTGATCCGCATGCTGCCCGCCATCCTCCATCCTCGGGCTCTGCTGCATGCTGCCCAGAACACCGACTCGATCAAGGTTCCCGAAAAATCTTCGCAGATTTCCGAGTTTGGGCGGCTGAAACTGCTGCAAACTTTGTGCACTGTGTATCGCTGCCTAGCAATTGCAGGACATCCTGGATTTCGAAAGATCTGCGAGGGCCCCGCTGTCTCTGAATCTGGAAAACCCCACAGGGCATTATGCCCTGCGACTTGTGACGAGGTTGCGATTGGGATCTGCTCTCATCCAGTTGTCCCTCCGACAGAACCATGCGCTCCTCTCCCCACAGCCGTAAAGAAAAACCCTAGCCCTGACAGCCTCGAGCCGCTACAGCGAGGAACACCTTCCCACTCGAAGTGTCGTCCAGAAGCTCCTGCTGCTGAACCGCTGGCAGCTACACCTCTGGCGGAAAGCCAACCTCGTCGATGTCAGCATCGATGGCAAGGGGCGGCTTGAGTCAAATCATAGTAAGGCTAATTTAAGGAAGCATCATATAGTGTGCTACCCCCTTGCCCTTAAGTTTTTCCTTAAAGGCCCCCTCTGGATCGGCTCTCAGCTGTCGGGGTCGGGTGACATGGGGTGACCCCTTTGGGGCCGATGTTTCTGCATCCAAGGAAGTGCCTTCGGAATGCTTTGCTGGACGGCACCCTGGTCGTTTCCCGAAAGTGGAAGCAGGGTTGTTCCCCAATCTTCCGCCAATCAGACCGGAGCAAACTGCAAAGAACAGTACTCGACGGGGGTTGATGCGGATGCCATGCACGGCAAGGAAAATCTCTCAGCTTCTCCGATGCTGACTGGCGTATCCCTCCGCAAGGGCTGCTGACCTTTGACTTTGTGGCCTTGTACAGGCCTGGTCATGTCCGATCGATGGGTACTTGCCTCGTGCCTTATGCATTTCATCTCGGCGGCTCTGATTCGAGGCCGCCTGCGGCGGCCAAGCCAATCCCCATCGAGACATGGGGGAATGTGCTTGCAGCACTGCAGGTCCGTAGGTGTGTCTGACTGGCATGAAAGGGTAACCGAAAATGCCGAGCGGAATGTCGCTGTTGCATCCAGTCGAAGGCTGAGTTGGCTCCGAAGAAGAAGGAAGATATGAAAGTCGAGGAGTTGTCGGGCGCTAGAGGGCACGACGCGAAGAAAGGAATGCCCCCGACGTTTCCTGTAGGAGGATCCTCAGAGCAGCCTGAAGATAAGCCAGGAGGGATGCGGCACAACTCGGTGGCATTTCGCCTGCAAGTCTTAAAGGAGTCGGCTGTAGACATCTGGCGCAGGCGATCTGGGCGCTTCGGGGCATCAGCTCAAGAGTTTGGATCCTCTCGCGGCAGCTGCGAAACCTCCTGTGCGTTTTCCTGCACCGACCCTTTGTGTGCAGTTTACGCGTTGCATGTGCCGTGACCTCCGGGATACTCCCTGACGCCATGGTGGTCCAGGAGATGACCGGGCCACAGTGCTTTGCATGATGTTCCTGCGATGCGTGGACTGGCCCATCAATGGCAAGTGCTTCTCAACTGCACATGTGCCGCCTGCGCCAGCACCCGAAACAGCTCCCTGAACAGCTCCCTGGGCATCTCTCCTGGGACCGAGGTTGTCAACCGAAGTTCACGAAGCAGCACTGGAAGAGCCTCAGTGAAAAGCTCGGTGCCAAGTTGTTCATAATGGGTGTCCCGGAAGCTGTAGCAGCTATACGGGCAGCATGCCAGTTGCAAAAAACAATAGAAGGCTGGGCTACATGAACCTCTTCCCTTACGGGCAGCCAGAGCCTTCGCTGCAGACACACTGAAACCTCGATTTCGCGCCTCGCCATCTGGCTGGCTCACATCCCAAACCGAAAGCTCCAAGACACTAAGCCCCGAGGAGATGTCCTTTCACACCATCGACCTTGCCCAGTGGGAACAGCGACGATGCCTGCACACACTCGTCCGCCTGTCAAATGCGGAAGATGCAGTGAGCCTTGCTCTGAGCACTGGGTCTAGGGCGAGGGTCGCGCTTCTTTCCTCTTTTCTTTCGGAGGTTTAACAGCTGAAAGAGCATTGTGCGAGTTTGCTGCTCCGCCTGCCATGCTGGCTTAGGAACATCAAGAATCCCGTGATGGACAAAGATGCGAACCCAAATGCCCCTGCCTTCCAACCTTTCGTTGCAGGCACAGTACTCAGTAGCCGATCAGGTGTTCTCCTGCGCTCCTCCCCTCTGTCCGTCTGCAGGCATTCCAAACTCCTGGGCCGAGTGGGACAATGTGCCGGCCCAGGGAATCATGCAGTGCCATAGCCTCGGCGGCCTCGGTGTCCCTGGTTCTTTCCAACCTCTGAAGATTGCGTCCAGGCACCTACAACTGTGCGGTGGACCGCCAAAATCTCAAGGCTCGGTCGCCGCACCGAAACGGTTGGATCACTCCCTCCTCCTTGAGTCGTAGCCCCTAGCTGCCAAGACCATGAACCATGGTCTGCACCATCAAGCCGGTAAACGTCTGTTGACCATCAAGACTGTGGTATGTAAGTCACACTAGAACAAGATGGGAAGAGAGAGCACATGGGGGTTTCCGAAAACCAGGGGGTACCAGGCCTTATTTTGGGGTCCTTATAGTAGGGATCCTACTTTTTAGGGTACTATATTAGGGTCCCCTATTTTGGGAGACCCTCGCATAGGAATTTGACGGTGCAGGTCCGCAGGCGGCTTGCAGCGACGATAGGGGGCTGGGCACACCTGCCGGACACGGCCTTCGACTTCTGGCGCCTGGGCACATGGGGAGTGTAGGGTCATCGGAAAGAGGTTCTAGCCCTTGGAGGTTTTTGAGTACTTCTCATGACCAGAGGCATGTCAGGACAGTCGAACAATCCTCTTCAGGGACACATGTTACAAGAACTGAAGCACTGCCTGGAAGCTGTCAGCTCCTTCGCAAGGGTCCCCGGATTCGCCCCAGGTCGTGCTTGGAGGATGTACCACCGGAAGTCCTCAAGGTTCCTCAGCGCTGTCAGTCTTTGAGTTGAGAAGCGGGGCTCGACCGACTGGTCTTGGGCCAGGTGGTGGTGTTCATGATCCGCAACTGGAAAAGCACTGATGCAGCCTTTACTGCCCTGAACACGCAGCCAGACAACATGCTGAACCACAAGGCGGGATAAAGAGTATGCCTGCTTGTGACAGGGAGAGGGGGCTTCCCGACAGGAGTTTGTGGATGGCCTAGCGAAAGCCGGCTGCTGCCGCACGCGAAGGCACGTGCTCCAAGTTTCTCGAGACGGGCGGAGCTGAGCAGAACTGAGAGAGCTTACCCTTATAGAAGCCTTGTAGACATAGCTCATAGAGTAAGCTTCTAAGAGACTTTATATAGTATCGCCCAGGCCCAAGACGCGGACGGTGACGATGTCAATAACCCTGGGCTCCTTGGAGCCAAGATGGGTCATGGCCCTGTTATGTTGGCTTAGGGTTCAGGGTTAAGGGGTTCGTTTCCAGGTCAAGCCTTCAATCTAAGGCTCAAGAGGACCCCCTGGAAGTCCCTCCGGCGGGGAGCCAGAGAGCGAGGACACTGGGCAGTTGGAGGCCTTGTCCAGTGCCTTGGCGCAAGCAGCAGAACTCCTGTAAATCGTCAGGAGTAGGGCGATTAGGGATAGCAGCATCTTTGAGGCGTGTTCCGATACTTGGATACCTCACATGATGGCGACATCTCACGGCGGGAGTTCGAGACGCTGGAGCGTGTTTGGCGCGAGCTTCAACAATCCATGTATGAGAGCCTTGGCTTTGTGATTCCGGATTGTAGCAGTGTATCGCCGTCTTCAGCAGAGGCTCAAGAATGACTTGGAGATCTTCTATGGATCGCTGACGAAGGCTGGGAGCAGGTGCTCGTCGGAGCACTAAGGGCTCTCAGCCGCTCAGCCCAGGCCTTCGAAGCCATCGATCAGGACGAGAGCGGCGCGATCTCCTTCGAAGAGTTCCGAAAGTGTTGGGCGCCCCAGAATTAGAAGCCGCCCGAAATACACACAGGGGAACTCTCCTAGCGACTTGTCGGTGTGAGGTGTTGAGGCAACGCAGTTCGACGGGCCCGTCACGGAGATCTTCATGTTTGTTGTTCCTCGGTCTTGACAGCTCCTGCTCGAGGGCAGAAAGCAGGCGAGATGCAGGCGCAGCTGGGCATGCGGCTCAGGACATGAACGGGGACCAGGAGATTGACGGCGAGGAGTTCTTCATCCTTGAAGAATACAGCGCCGCGGCGGCACAGAGGCGCTTTTGGCAGTCCGCAAGGGGCTTCGTCTTCGTGAACCTTCGTGACATGCCAAGGTCACGCACCCCCCTTGCCAGACTTTACGGATGCCAAGACTGCAAAGATGGCCAGCCACGCAGCCGCACTCGGCCTCTGCATCTCTCCTGCCTGGGCTATGGCCGGAGCCGTTGTGCTGTGGTGTTTTGCCTGTGAGGACTCCTCCAAAAATAGGTCCGCCGGACAGGACAGACTCGCTGCTTAACTCTTCTCCTCCCTGGCTGCTGCACTTCCGTGCTTCATGGGGACAGGACATGATGCGAGTGAACCCGCACTCTGAGCGATGATGGGCAGCAAGAATGCTAGTGAAGCTCAGCCCGACTTTCAACCGCGCGAGTCTTCAGTCTAACAGTTTACGACCTTGAAGATTTGGAAAAATGGCTGTAATCAGGCATGTTCGACAAAACTTCGGACTGTTCGGACACGTCTTAGTGGAGCAGCCAGATTGGCACCCGAAGATGCCAGGCATCGGATCACATTGTCAGCAGTTCTCAAGCCATTTAAGGTGCGACGGGCGATGCCTCCGCTTCTCTCATTTTAAAACCCAGAAAGTGTACAGCGTTTGCGCCTCATGGGCTGTGAGCATGCGCAGCGTCGTAGACGTTCTGCTTCCGACAGAGATGCGGAAACTCACAGAAGATTTAAGTCTCCCAGTCTCCCACCTCTCTCCGGCATCTGGCTTCACAACATGAAGCCTTAGCTCAAGGCTTGAGGCTCGCAGTCTCCGTCAGAAGAACTGATGAGACTGGGCCATCCCGGCAGAGTTTTAGGTCTTTGTGGTCAGATCTGGGAATGCGACGTGAGGAAAAATCTGCGAACCGAGATCAGTTTGGGGAGCTCTGAGCGAATCGACGAGGCGCCGATCGTGCACTTCACGGTCCGCCGCGCCGGCCTCCCAGCATTCTGGGGCCTACAAACAATGTTGATGAGGTGAGGAGGGATCAGAGGGCGCAGCAAAGGAAGTACCTTTGGAGCACCTCGTGGATCTGTGCTTCGACGAGCTGTTCAGCTTCTTGCCTCAGGGGCGAAACTTGGGTCTACTTCTAGCTGAAAGTAGTTAACGTCTCGGCGAGGATTGATGTCACTTGTTTCTGCGAAAGCGCAGCGAAGGCTGGGAGATCTCCAAGGACGTCTTGCTGACTCCCGTGGCTCGGCGACTAGCCCACGCTTGGTCCGCACAGCGCTCGGAGTGAAGTGCGCGGACTTGTCATAGAAGCTCACGTTTAGAACCTACTGGTGGTCCACTGATGAGCAGTCGTTTCTTCACAATTCTCTGATTCTTGCCAGGATGCATGGGTAACAGTTTTAGTTATGAATGTTATAAATGTATATTGGCACACTTGCACATGAAAAAGAGGTATGCTATCGAAGATTTGCATGCCCTTGTTTATGCTTCAGTGTACATCAGTCCATCCATCCATCTATCCATCCATAGTGCATACATGTCTTTACTTTAGATCAATAGGCGTTAAATAGGCAGGCACGTAGGTAGATAGACACATACATGTATACATACATACGTACATACTTACATACATACATACATACATTTTTACATACACACGTACGTACCTACATACATACAACCACACCATCATGCACAGGCACATACAGACAGACGTACATACAAACTTACACACATACAGGCGTAGGTACCATCCTCCTTTCGCACTCACTCACTCGCTAGCTCACTGACTCACTCACCGACTCACTCGCTGACTTACTTGCCTTGCCAGCCTAAGCTAACCTAACCTACCTTACTTACTTACTTACTTACATACTTACTTACCTACTTACTTACTTACTTACTTACTTACTCACTCACTTACTTACTTACTCACTCACTTTCTTTCTTTTTTTCTTTGTTACCTACTTTCTTAACTTACTTACGTTTTTACTTACCTACTTACTTACTTACTTACTTACTTACTTACTTACTTACTTACTTACTTACCTTCTTTACTTTACTTACATACTTATTTGCTTGCTTGCTTACTAACTAACTAGCTAACTAACCAACTAACTAACTAACTGACTGACTAACAAACTGACTAGCTAACTTACTTACATACATACTTGCTTACTTGCTTACTTACTTACTTACTTACTTACTTAAATTTTCGCGTACGTACGTACGTACTTACTTACTTACTTACTTACTTACTTACTTACTTGCTTACTTACTTACTTACTTACTTACTTACTTACTTACTTACTCGCCTAGTCACTGACTTGCTGACTTGCTGACGTACTGACTTACTGACTTACTTACTCACGCATTTACTGACTTATTACTCAGACGACAGCTCCATCCATCCATCCGTCCGTCCATCCACCCATCAACATCAATCCACACATGCATGATTCATTTTCTCTATTTCGCACGGAAAAGTGTATAAATCTTCCCGCATTTTGTCATAAGTAGCCAGCGGTGATTGCCATGCGGAACAATCATGCTTGGTACTCGGTTTGCACGCGGAACACACCGGGCAAAACTGGTAGAGCAGAGTATCCCCCATGGATCACCCGCCTACTTCTTGCGGCTTCCAAGGCCCTGTCGCACCATGGCCAAAGACTTCAGTTGTACTTCGTAGTTGGCCACTCAGGCACAGGCAATGGACAAGTCACCTGCCATGACTGTCATTTCATGAGAGACTTGTAGTCTTCTATGAATGATCGGCTCTGAAATGCTCGCTTTCTGGCCCGAGTTTTGCAGCACACACGTTCTACCCACTTCAACGGCCGTTCGGGAAGCATGAGCCGTGCTGGAGACTGGACCTGCCTCAAATGCGGCGATTTGCAGTTTGCCAGGCGAGAGGTTTACTGCCTGCAGTGCAGTGGGTTGCCCTCGCTCCCGGTGCCTACAGGAATGCCAGCTGCAGGAGGTGTGGAGTGCCCAAGGGCTCTGGTGCTTATGCAGGCTCAGGCAGACTCTGATCGTTCGAGCATGCACGCAGGGAAGAGTGCTTCAGTGAAGATGCATCTCTTCTCGGGATATCTCAAATTCAACTTGCTCGGTCATCCCCGGTATGTGCACGAAATGTTGTGTTTCTTTTGCTGTCCTTTCAATGTCTAGCAATGGCTCTTAGTCTTAGTCATGGCTATCGCCTCGCGGGGGGCGGAAATCGTACTTAGTTGTGTGGTCCCGCCATGCCCAGCTGAAAGCAGCTTGCTAGGCCATGCTAGGCCAGGCCGAACCTTTTCATGCCGACGACCAATGACTAGGGCGACTAGAGCGTCTAGCCAAACTCGCACGGTAAAACTTGGGCATGTTGGGTACTAGACGTTGTGTTGATCAATCTACGACGCTGTCAAATTTCACGTGAACCTAGTCGTGCGTTGAACTTGACTTGGAGGATTCGCCGGGCGATGTAGGACGGCATTAATCTGGAGTTCTCCCCAGGCGCTCAAGCTCCAGCAGCACCGATTCAGGATGGCACCAGGGCAGGCGACAGCGGTCAGCACAGTGTTTTGATTTGTTGGCCACTGACCTGTCCGAGAGGAGACTGGACGTGCCCGCTTTGCAAAGGTCTTGTGCGGGAAGCCTAGCTGCGGCATACAGTAGCACATAGGACTTTCCGAAAATTAGGGGTACCTTATTCTGGGGTCCTTATAATAGGGATCCTACTATTTGGGGTACTATATTAGGGTCCCCTATTTTGGGAGACCATAACAAGGATCCTATCATTTAGGGTGCTATATTAGGGTCCCCTATTTTTGGAAACCCCCACATGGTCATTTCATTTTCGACCGGCCTGGGCCTCTGCCTTGTCAGGTTCGGCAGTCGAAGCTCGCTCCCCAGCTTGGGAGCTGCGTCGACCGCGCTTGGGAGTTTCCGAAAATAGGGGATCCTAATATAGTACCCGAAATAGCAGGATCCTTTATTATATGGACCCCCAAAATCTTCACTGAAGACCGCTTTTGTGCAGCTTGGAGGCCAATGCCGCAAGTGTGGATGCCACAGGCCGGCAAGCTCTGCCGCCGCTACTCCGACTCCCGCCGAGGCTGAAATGATTTGGTTAGGCGAGTGCTCCAAGACGGATGACACAGTATGTTCAGTAATATCGGAACGTAGAGGTAAAAGCGCAGACAAGAGATGGTGATAGCACACTGAATGCTTAAAGACAAGTGCGTGTGTGTATATAAACATACTATATATACACGTGTACATACATACATGTAGGTACATACATACATTCATACATACACGCATGCATACATACATACATACATACATACATACGTATGCTGCATGTATGTGTGTTCACATAACTCTCCGCGAGGTGCCTGCTGGCGGTAAGAGTGGCGACTGGACCTGTCCCACCTGTGGAGACCTCGTGCACTTGGCCCAGCTTCAGCAGCATGTGAAGACTTGTGTGCACCCTCGAAGCCATTTCTGTGTCAGGTTCTCCAGCCGAGGACAGGCTTTCAGTGGATCTTGCCATGATAGCTGTTGAAAGCCATGATACTGTGTCGGCCGACATTGCCATGACCTGACTACCAGGCCATTGTCGGAAATGTGGCGCCAGCAAGCCCGGAACCAGCACTTCTCCGGGGGATGGCAAAGACTGGACCTGTCCCCGATGTGGCGATCTTGTGTCCGCCGCCCAGTGCATGATGACATTTCCGGTTGGGCAAGGTTGGAGAATACAGAGATCAGGTTTGGCAGCAGAAGCTCGTGCCGCAAGTGTGGGGCCGAGCGCCTCGTGACAGCCAAGCCGACTGTGCAAATGCACACTGGCGATTGGCGATGCCCGAAGTGACGCTTGACCGCTTCACTTCATCCAAAGGTTCTGACAGGCTATTTTCTTGTTGAGGTGGGTTGAGTTGGTCTTACAAGGGCTCGTAATCCGTTCACGGTAGTCGCGGTCATGAAGAGGGCTTCTAAGTCGCAGACCGGTAGTGTGTGTACACATATATAGATGCGTATACATATGTATATATATATATATGCATATATATATATGTGTATGTATACACACATACATATGTACGTACATACCCACTTGTCGAATTTGGCAGGCAACGACCACCAGTTTGCGAGGAATGAGTCGAAGCCGCAACAAGTTTCAGTCGGTTGTGCGCATATACTGTTATATACCGTAAGCAAATTGCCAAATGAATGCTTCTACTACTCAGAAGCCACCTGTCCATCTCCGAGGAACGCTGCCGCAGCTGCGGAGAGGCCTTGTTGTCTGGTACATCTCGCGGACATATCCGTCTTTTGCAGTCGGGTGTGTATGTATGTATGTATGTATGTATGCATGCATGTACATGTCGAAGTACATGTATGTGTCTCTTTTTACAGCTATGATGTATATGTACGAGGGTTAGTGACTATGTCTGCGTGTGTATGTAGATGTGTGTGTGTGTGTTTGTATGTATGGATGGATGTATGTAGATGTGCATATGCATGCATAGGTGGATGCAAATGTGCACATGTGTACATGTATCTGTATATATTTGTATATGAGTATGCGCATGTGCATGTGCACGTGGATGTGTAGGTGTATGTGCATCTATGTATATGTATGTCTGTGTATGCATGTGCGTGTGTGTGTGCGCGCATATATGTATGTGTATGTGTCTGTATGTGCATAATATATGTGCATGTGTACGTGCACATACATGTTTGCATCGTGTACGTCTATGTGTACATGTGGAGTGGATATGTTTGCATGTACAGCGTCTCTGTTTCTGTCTTCCTTAGCCTCTGTCTCGGTCTGTCTTACAGACATGCATGCATGCATTCATGAATTCCTACATTCACACATGTGCAACTTTTCTAAAGTAGCCCAACCCACGCACAGGAAATCACATGTACATATCTAGATGCCATCGTACATGTATCTGCGGCCTTTCGGATCCGCGCGCTAATTACCAGCAACATAGTCAAGTCTTGCACATGCTTAGACTCGCATGCTTGTTGTTAATTACCCTATACTGTGGTCGAGATACTGCACTAGCTTTGACATTTAAAGACAAGCCTTAGCGAGTTCAATGTCTTCAGATTGTTGCTGGGTTCAGGATGGTCTAGGAGTCTAGATTGAGCTCATGTGTTGGCTCTTGTGAGAAGCCCAACGCCATTACTTGAGCGTAGCTGTTAACATCAGAACTCACCACCAACATGCAAAAGACCTGAGACCGGGACATCACTTCTTCCCAGTGGTCTAGAGTGCGCTTTTTCGATGTGTAGTACCTTTGTAAGGAAGTGTAAGAGACGACTACTTCATTATACGATGTTTTAATATGTTTTTAGTCAACCATGGGCCAAAGCCGACATCGGTGCATGCTATCAGAGTGTTTGAATCGAGAGAACCAGATACCCGAGTGTCCTGAAAGCTGCACCCGAACGACCAAAGAAGCAGCACTGGGAGGCTAGGCCAAGCGCATCTTGGCTGGGCACCGCTGTGGGCTTGGCACCGCCGTGCTACTGGACCTCCAAAGTTCGGGCCCCAAAGAGGTGATTCTAGGGTTCAGGGTTTAGGGCTCAGATGGTTCCAGCGGTGCAGAATCGCACCTTGCGTCACACTCAGGAGGGCGATGGGCCACCTTGGCGGATTGTGCCGGCTGATGCTGCAGAGATCGCAGCCCTGAGACTAGCGATGGATCCAGGTGAGATGGCCACAGATCGAAGTGCTGGTAAAGAAACGTGACTTCAAAGGGAAACATAGGATGACTAGACCTAATAGGGGAAGTAGCGATGCCTGGAAGTGTTTTGCGAAACTAAGAACAGCCCAGTCCGAACAATCATAAGAACAGTAGTGAAAGCTCTTGCATTCATCAGAGGCCCATCATACCGATAAGGTTGCTTTCGGCAGCAACACTACTTCAGTCTTGTGTGCTGCTCCCGGTGCTGTCTCTTGCAGGTGGGAGCCTGGGCGGGCGGGATCAGCGCGCCGCAGGCAAGCACCAAGGCACAGACGGTGGGCTGAGGGCTGCTCCCAGGCTCAGTCCCAGTATTAGGGTTGAGGGTTTAGGGTTTAGGGTTTTAGGGTTTAGGGTTTAGGGTTAGGGTTGTTGTGATTGCGATGTGTAAGGGGACAGCCACAGGACGTTTCGACAGCCGTGCGTTTCAACTCATGTTGCTTCAACCACAGGATTCCAACTCCACGGAGCATGGCGCCTCCAGCATCCAGGACAGTCTCAGGAACAGAGTTTGGTCATCGCGTACATGCCTTAATGCAGGCCGGCTGGCCTTGTCTATTCTCAATTGGTCCTCCTGCAACAAAGGCCTGAGCCGTCCCCAGTAGGTGTTTGGAACCCTGAGAAGCCCCCACACACTCTACTTGAGCACTTCACATCATCCACGAAGCCTCCTGCAATGCTTGTGGTGAACAGTGGTTCTTCTGAACATATCTTGCACATAACGTGCACTGCTGCAGTTCATGCGGTGGCAGTTCGCAAGGACTTTGGGGCAAATATGCCATGGAGCGGGAAAATCTGCGTCAGAACCTTGCCAGCGTTCAAGCAGAGCACATGTCAAGCCCAAATCGGAAAGAGGGACGCTTCTGCTTTGGAACACTATGAGAGACCCCTTTACAGATGCTTGCATGTGACTGAAGACGGTGCATGCCGACCACGTGCTCTGACGGAGGATTGACATGAAGTCGATTTCGTCGGCCGTGCCATCAGTGCAGCTGCGCCGACAGTATGTGGCCTATCTTGACCAAAAGCCAGAAACCCAAACCCCGAATGTTGGCTTGCCCGACCCAGCCCCGCATGCCGGTGGTATACATGCCAGTCGATACCAGACAGGTGGAGATGGCCGAGAAGCTTCCAGCCGCGCTGTTCACCGATGTCAACGAGGTCTTTCGGGCTTCGAGTTGGGGTTTGGGGATCAGGATGTTTTCGAGTCAGACAAGATGTAGGGTGTTCCGGGCTTTTTTCAGAAAGGACCCTGCTGATTGAGGTCGACAGCCTGCAACTCATATTTCTGATGATTTCTGTGGAAGGGCTTCCCTCGATGATTTTCTGAGTTTTGGGTCATGCCTATGTCTTTGTCTTGTGACGGAAGCTGATGTCAATGCTGGCTCTTGTAGCTTACATAGCCTGCCTAAAGTTCGGTTAACGTTCATGCGGCCGCGTACGAGGACTCACCAAGGCAAAGCCGATTGTTCCGCTCGTCGCTCTCCTTCGAGCACGCTAGATCATATCAGCGAGTCAAAGCAACACCTGAGATGCCAAAGAGCTCTCAAAACGCCACGATTTGCCATGTCTACAGGTTCGATATGACTAACCCCAACCTATAATTCCTCGGCAATCATTTTGCTTACAGACTTTGGCTGACTTATGCGTTCGCCGCGACACTATTCGGGTCCAATGCAAACCTGTTTGCCGCAGTTTGCAGCAGACAACGTGGGCACAGAAAGAGAGGAAGGGGTCTGAAACAAGCCTCGGGCTGTTCTGACGGAATTTGATTGAGTGAACAAGTCAGGTCTTCCTCTCCCATGGCACGGTGCCAGACAGCAGCTTGAATGGAGATTCGTTCACTGTGTATGTTTTCTGGAGCAGTGTGGAATCAAAGGCGTGCTCCCTATCTTGAGTGGTGGCCTGAATGAGCGCTTCAGCGGTGGCCTCTTCGGCAACGGAACCTATCTGGCCGAGGAAAGACGGCTGCCCTGTTTCCGAACTTAATGACTCATGATTCTTTTGCATGTCCCTGGGTGTTCGTGACTCTGCGATCGATTCTTCAGTTTTGGTTGTAGAGGGTGCTGTGACATAACATGACAAGATTTCTGTCCATGGTGGTACTCTGAGAGAGTGGCAGCATCCTGTTGCAGGATATTGGCAAGAATGATCAGTACTGCAGGCACGGCTTCAGCATGACGATGAGGGCCTTGTGTGCTTTCTTGTGCTCCCCTGTGGAGGGCTCATTTTCCTGGGCAGCACCCGGAGTTGGAGCAGCTGCTTTACGGCGATTCTGGAATCAGCCATCCAGGCCAAGATGTTGGTCTGCCTGTCTTCTGGCATCAGCTGAACGCACAAGGCGTGTGTGGCTAGCAGGTGATGTCTTCTACATGTTCGTGTGTCGAACTCTGCTGGGTTACAGCATCCGTACGACGCCTGTCTTCGCAATATCGAAATCAAGGTAGGCAGACTGCTCGCGTAGCTTCCATGCTCCACATGGCTCCCTGGACCCGAGGAGAGACGGCGGGTCGGATGTGGACAACAAAGGTCGCAGCATCTGGTCGTCTGAGAAACGAAGCTCGTCCAGATGTTGTAGGCTACGTCTGGAACAGTCGTAAAGTAGCCAGTCACGTACAGAAGAACCGACTGATCCTAGGCGAGCTGGCAGCTATACCGAGTTCAAGCCCGCCGGTCCTTCACCACAGTCTGGTTGCAGAGACCGGTGGAGTCATAGCAGCTTGGCGTGGCCACGGAATAATCACGTTCCAGCATACGTGAATTGATCGCCAGTCACATAGCAAAGGCTCGGTACCGCGAGTTCATGGTCTTCCATGGCTCCAGGATATATCCTGAGTATCTGGTGGCCTACTTGCGCACCTAGCAGCCATGCCACATGAAGGATTCGAGCAAGCTGCCTGCCTGTGCAGCATGTTGATGAGGGAAGCTTGCCTGATGGATCTTGAGGATGCGGGCGGAGGGTTTTTCTGATTTTGATTGGGCGGGTGGTGGGGTCTTTCAAGGCCAACCGTGCCGAGCTGCCAAAGCAGCGCCACAAAGGGCAAGAACGCTTTGTGCTGTGTGTCCGGCGAGTCGAGTTGTACAGTGCGACCTCGACGGCGGGCCAAAATGCTTTCGGATGCCCAGAAGAGCTGCGTGTCGCTCACAGACGCGCGCGCGCGCAAGACTTAAGATGAAGGTCGGGGGATCTGTCCGGTCTAAGTCTCAGGTGCGGAACCCCTTTGACTTTGCCAGCTCCTTGCTGAGCCACATGAGTCCGACTCCCTGACGGACAGCATCAAGGTCCGTACTCGTAGCTTCAGATTCCCAGGTCTCGACACCTTTGTGACCTCGGAGGAGGAGCAGATCTTCTCTTGGGCTTGGCACTTGTGGCCTTTGAGCCTTCTGACGCCTTGCGTGTTCACTGTAATTTTGGTCAGATTTATGCATGAGTCAATGAGGGAGAAGGCTCAGGCAGCAAGAAATAACGGGCTCCGGTACACCCACTACTATCCCCATAGCTGCGGAATGACGACATGTATTCGGCTCCACAGCAGTATCATAGTCACCAGGACTGCGTCACCAGGATTTCTGTGTTCCGATGCGTTGGGGCAGTGGCTAATGGGCTCATGGACGCATTCGCTTCGTCAGCATGCTCTTCGTGCTCACTTCCCTCCATCCGCGGTAGGTGCCCCCAAGAAAATGCAATGTGTCCGACCGACACAACCACGGAATCAAAGAGAGGATGCTGCGACTCAGTGCCAATCCTGAAGCAGCTTGCAAGCAAGAGAAGCTCGATTGCCACGTTTCTGAACTTACAGCACAAAATCTGAGAGCATGCCTCTGTACCGTGGGCAACAGTCCATTGGGAATCGTATCCTGAACTCCCGACTACTAGTAGCACTCTGGTACCCAGCCACGGATAAGGGGGCCTACTTCAGGCCCCGGGCCGCTTGCCAAAGCACTTCAGCCGCGGCAAGCAGCAGTACCTGGACGTGGCGCTCAGCGGCCTCAGGCGCCCGCCATGTCCGGCCTTTTCCCTGCATTCCACAGGCTCTCTCGGTCTCTGGGTGTGTCTATGTGTGTGTGTGTGTTATGTTTGCGTATGTATATATATATACACACACATACATATGTATTATATACACATACATATATATATATATATAGGGATACATATAGGTGTACGTAAATGTGCGAACACGGTATGGAGAACAGCCGTGCGGATATAAAGCATCGAGGCAAGAGTATGTGAAACCACAAATTGACACGCAGAAGCAGACACCCGAAACGCACGCAGAGGTAGATAGACAGATAGACAGCCAGACAGATAGACAGATAGACAGATGGATAGGTAGATAGACGGATGGATAGATAGGTAG